GGCACACAACCACCACCAAACCACTGTGCCTACAGGAGACACTGTGTGGCACAAGGAGTTAAGCACTCAACTAGCCCAAAAGGTGGCAGTTTGAAACCCACCCAGAGTCATCTCAAAATACAGACCTGGTACTGCTTCCAAAAAGTCACAGCCATAAACTCTCCTGAACAGTTCTACTCTGAAAACAAGGGGTCACCATGAGTTAGAATTGATTCAACACCTACTAGTAATGACTGTCCCTTTATTCTCAACTCCCAAATTCCAGTCCCTAAAATATGTATTGCGTATAATGATGAGCAGAAGTTGAAGACACTTAGTCCACAGAAGCATAAGAGCTTATAGGTTTCATCTTTATGTCAGAAGACCTGAAATCCTGAGAAGAAAATCTGGGAGTAATCTTTTTCTATTCAGGACTTTTATGTGATTGGAGGAGAGAGGTAGTTTTTACTATCTTGACCAGAAAAATTACATTTTGAGACACTCTTGTATAAGATATCCCTTAAACACCGATCTAATCACAAAGCTCTACTGCTAAAGCCAAAATCCATTATCTAACCTCCAACTTACCTACATGCAGTTTGTTCACTGTGAGTAAAGTATATTTGCTTGAAGAAATATTGCACAAATACTCCCCACTGTCTGAAATATCAAGATTTCTCAAAGTTGAAGATAAGTCATTCTGGTGTATCAGATCTTTGTTCCATGAGAATCTGGGTTCATTAATAGTCAAGTTTTGTGAAGAATTCAGAAAGTAAGCCAGCACTGAGGAAGTCCCGTTTTTTATTCTGGACCAAGTGACTATGAAGTCTTCAGTTAGTAGAAGAAAATTATTGGCAAGTGAACATGAGAGTGAAATGTCTTCATTTTGAATTTTATGAAGGTCATCTAACAACAGTATAGAGAAGAACATTTCAATGAAGGCAAAAGTTTCAAATAAAAATTTTAAGCTAAACTTAGGAAACCAGGAACTAAGACTATAATATTTATTTTATTTTTGAAAATAACTTCTTGAAAAACAATTTAATACTAATATTGTGGACTTTGTTAAAAGAAAAGTTTTCTTGTTGCTAGTTATCATTCAATCTGACTTATGGTGACGCTCTGTATGCAGAATCAACTACTCACCTATCAGTTTGTGTTTCTGTGGTGACTTGTGTGTTGCTGTGATGCTGGAAGCCATGCTACCAGTATTGTAAATACCAGCAGGATAACACCTGGTGCAGAGGTGTAGGAAAGAACTTCCAGACTAGATACTAGAAAGGACATGCAGACCACTTCTGAATGTTTAGCCCCTTAAAACCTTATGATAAGCAAACAGTGGAACATTTTCTGAATACCACCAAAATATTTGCAGTTATGGTGCTGAAAGATGAGCCTCTCAGGTTGGAAGGTACTCAAATGCAACTAGGGAAGAACTAGAGTTGATCATGATGAAGCTTTGGGGACCTTCATTTTCTGATGGGCATAACTCAAAATGAGGAGAAAGAGCTGAAAACATCTTTTAATAATAAAAACATGGAATGTACAAAGTATTAATCTAGAAAAATTGGAAGTTGTCAATATCCTAGGCATTGTTGTTGTTGTTAGGCATCATGGAGTCATAGTAACCTTATATACAACAGAACAAAACACTGCCTGGTCCTAAGTCATCCTTACAATCATTATTATGTTGAGCCGATTGCTGCTGCCACTGTACAATCCATCCTCTCCTTTTTGCTGACCTTCCACTTCACCTAATGTGATGTCCCCTTCCAGGGACTGGTACCTCCTCATAATACTTCCAATTATGAGAGATGAAGTCTCCCCATACTGACTTCTAAGAAGCATTTTGGCTATACTTCTTCCAACAAAGATGTGTTTGTTCTTCTAGCAGTCATGATAATTAAAAAAATTTTTTTCAACACCATAACTCAAATGCATCAATTCTTTTGTGGCCTTCCTTATTCACTGTACAATTTTAACATGTATATAAAGTTACTGAAAATATCATGGCTTGGGTCAGATGTACCTTAGTCCTCAAACTGACATCTTTGCTCTTGAACACTTTAAAGAAGTCTTGTGCAACACATTTGCTTAATACAATACATCATTTGATTTGTTGACTGCTGCTTCCATCAGCATTGATGGTGGATCCAAGCAAAAAGTCTTTAATGACTTCAATAATTTCCCCATTTATCATGGTGCTATTTACTGGACAAGTGGTAAGTTTGGGGTTTTTTTTTTTCCTTTTTCTTTTTTTTTACATTGAGGTGCAACCCATCCTATGAGCTAGTAAGCTGAAATTGACTGGTACTGGTAATTTTGAATCTAACAATCATGTGGGAACAACAAATTCAAGAAGAATGAAGTAACATTCATCACCAAAAAGATCATTTCAAGATCTATCTTGAAATACAATGCTGTTGTATTTAATGTAGATATCTTTTTAAAACAATATAAAAGGTGACTATACAAATGGCCCTCACCAGATGGAATATACAAGAATCAAACTGACTACATCTCAGGGAAGAGATGGTGGAAAAGCTCAATATCATTAGCCAAAATAAGACCAAATACCAACTATGGAACAGGCATCAATTGCTCCTATGCAAGTTCAGGAGGAAGCTGAAAACAAATTAAAACAAGTCCACCAGAGTGAAAATATGACCTTGAGCATATCCAAACTGAATTTTGAGATATTCTCAATAACATATTTGATGATGTTAATCAAGAACATCACACAGAAAAAAACCAAAAACGTCATTAAAAAGATAAGAGAGAAAGGAAAGATGAAATGAATGTCAGAAGAAACTCTGAAACTTTCTCTGGAGCATAGAGATGCTCAAGTGAAGGGAAGAAATGAGAAAGTAAAAGAACTCTATATCAAACTTCAAAGGATAGCTTAACAATGAAATGTGCAAAGACCTGTAGTTAGAAAACCAAAAGAAAAAAATTTGCTCACTGTATCTCAAGCTGAAAGAACTGTAGAAAAAAAATCCAACCTGGACTTGCAATGTTGAAGGATTCTATGGCAAAATATTGAATGATGCAAAAAGCATCAAATGAAGATGGAAAGTATACAGAGTCACTGTACCAAAAATAAATGGTTGATATTCAACCATTTCAAGAGGTAGCATATGATCAAGGACTCGTGGTACTGAAGAAAGAAGTTCAAGCTACACTGAAAGCATTGGCAAAAAACAGCACTCTGGAAATTGATGGAATATGAATTGAAATCTTTCACCAAATAGATACAGAGCTGTACCTGATCACTTATTTATGCCAAGAAATTTTGAAGACAGCTCTCTGGCCAACTGATTGTAAGAGATCCATAATTGTGCCCATACCAAAGAAAGGTAACTCAACAGAATGTGGAAATAACCTAACAAAATTATTAATATCATATGCAAGTAAAATTTTACTGAAGATAATTGATAAAAATGACTATAACATCTTCAGGAACATGCCAGAAATTCAAGAAGATGTGGAAATAGGAATACGGTGAATTCATATGATTCTTGGCTGAGAGGACAGACTATCAGAAAGATGTGTTTTATTGTGCTTTATTGACTATGCAAATGATTTTGACTGTGTAGATTATGACAAGCTATGGATAACATTGTGAAGAATGGGTATTCTAGAATACTTAATTGTGCTAATGAGAATCCTGTACAGAGACCAAGAGCAAATCATTTGAACAGAACAAAGGGATACTGAATTGCTAAAATCAAGAAAGGTGTGTGCCAAGATTGTATTCTTTCAACATACTGTTCAATCTATATGCCAAGAAAATAATTCGAGAAACTGGATTACGTGAAGAAGAACATGGCATCAGAATTGGAGGAAGACTCATTAACAACCTGAAATATGTGAGAATGACTTAGAATACTACTGGAGAAGATCAAAGACTAAAACCTTCAGTGTAGATTGCACCTCAATGTAAAGAAAACAAAAATCCTCACAACTGGACCAGTAAAGAGCATCATGATAAATGAAGACAAGATTGAAGTTGTCAAATACTTCATTTGCTTGGATCCACAATCATTGCTCATGGAAGCAACAGGCAAGAAATCAAATTATGTATTTGTTATTGGTAAGGACATAATACATGAAGAAAGCAAAATGTCTTTGAGAAGACAAGAAAGATGTAAAAGGTCAAAATGGATGTCAGAAGAGGCACTGAAACTTGTTCTCCAGCGTAGAGATGCTAAAGTAAATGGAAGAAATGAGGAGGTATAAGAGCTAAACAGAAAATTTCAAAGATCAGCTCAAGAAGATAAAG